CATAATATTCGAGTTGTGAGCCTTGATCGGGTTTAGTCAAATCTCACTTATTACTCCTTAATTTTCTTAATATAATTACTATAACTATTAAGTTGTAAAACTAATTTAACATTTACAAGACTATAATATTAAAACTAAACACGAACAAATAATAGTTCTTAAAAAGTATATAAACCAAAATTTTTTCAACAATATTAATATTTAATTCGTTCAAAATGCATGGAAAAATAGTAATAAAGCATGCGATCATAAGTCAATACATCTTCAAAAGTTGAAACTTTTTTTATAATCTTGTGATTTGAATCCAAACATACTTGATGATTTGTGTTTGTAGACCAAAAAGAAATCAACCAATATTATGCCAACACAAAAATTCACTCAACTAATAAGAAAAATTAGAAATTCAGTTATGCATTATTAATATTGGTTTCAAGAAAGCTCATGGAAGAGTCTTTAGATGTCTTTTTGTGTTTTGTAATTTATATATATTTAGTATTTAGTAATAATATATTTGGATATATAATTATACATAATATCAAAATATAAATATTATATATATAGGTAATTAAAGGGCCGAGCTTATTTCGAGTTTGAGCCCAATAAGGCCCAAATTCGGTTCATATTCAATTCGAGCCTAATTTTTAGGTTCAAACTCAGACCGGCTCACTAAAAGGTCGGGCTCATCGAGTTTTTTGTCGGGCCAAATGAACCGAGATCGGGCTGGCCCAGTCCCATTGACAGTCCTAGTTCAAATGAAGGGCTAAAGGCACTTCAAATGAAGGGCTAAAGGCACTAACAGTTGTCAGTGACAACTATTCTAAATGATCTAACATTTTTTGAACAAGATATAACTTTAAATGAACTATTTGTAAAACTTAACAACGGAGATACAATTATTACATATAGGATCCACATGAACAGGAATAGAATATCACACCTTTGTTATAAGAATGTACAAGAAGTTTACATAGAGTTACAGAACGTTCAAAAAATGTTATACTGTTTAGGGATGGATGATGCCCCGCTCCCTTAAATGAAATGGATGTCAGGATTTACAATATTTACAGATGGAGACTTGTAACCTAACTGTGTCATCTGTTCATTAGAAGAATCAGGGTTAAATGAATATGTGATTGCTATGAGAAGATTAGTCTATTATTATTTCTTCCACGTGGCATCCTATTTTTCTGAATGAAGATAAACACTATTGAAACCATGACAAGAACCTAGGAAACAATTTAACACATTCAAGAATTACGTTACTTTGCTATCAGTTATCAAGCTGTCCTATGTTACAAGGACGAGGTTGCAGAATGCCACCCCGCTAGCAAGCAAGAAATGTAGGCCTTACCGTGTGCCATGTCCCACGAGAACAGGACCAACTACGTTTTATAGTGCTTTAATAATTCGTAAGGACAAATGGTCCTAGCAAGCCTGGAATCATGAATTATTGCAGGAGACTATTTTGCACATGCTGATAGCAAGGGGTGAATAGAGTTGGGTCAATAGAGGTAAAAGATAAAGCTATCATAAACCCTGATCATCTCCACTGGCTTGCAAGTCCTTTTGACAGACTAGTTTCAAGAAAGAATCTACTCGTACCCTTTTCGAAGGTCACAATACTCAAACAACCCAGGGTAAATGCCCCATCACCTAGAGATTGAGGGTCAGCTTGCTGCCATGTGGATGAAACTACAGCATGGAAGAAAAGCACATGCCCAAGAGATCATGTGGAATATCTGAGAAGATGGTAAAACTTCTAAAAGATAATAATTCCTTCAAGCAATTGAAGGAAAGAATTTCACTTTAGCTCCCACAATTGTATTTCCTCGCATATTAATTATTTTCTCAGGCCCTCAGTGGAGCTAAAGGAGTTGGGTTTCATCTTCTCTCATTTCTTAGGTACCCCAAAATATTTGAATCAACTGCTCCCACCCAGTAGACAAAGTTGCCAGATTAGAACACCAAAAAATTAATAATGATAAAAAATAAGGAACAGGGTTTAACTGAGATCATACAAACTTGCATGGTTAGCAATATCAACCGATTTCAATATGAATCGGCCGAGTTGTAACTGAAACGGAAGGGACCGAAGTGATATCGATCCATGAATCACAGATATTACCATATCCGTGGTAACTCGCTTTGATTCAGCCGAGATTGACCGATTCGAATTCGTGATGTATGGTATCACTCGATATATCCTAGTCAATCGGAGCTGTCTAGGATATTTTTTCAGATTATACCTTTTTGAATATTTTCTAACTTTAGTAATTTTTTCAAATTTTTTTGAAAATTTTTATGTGTTATAATGTGCGTTAACCGATATGCCGCAATGGATGCGAAACCGCGAAACAACCACAACCCGCGATGGCAAACAATGCTAACTTGTGCCTAGATAAAACAAGAAAAGGTTGGTGCTTGGTCAGCATCAAAATCAAAAGCAAAATTGGTCCCCTGGTAGTGATACTCATCAGATTGAAAACTAAAGAAAATCAAATCCATTTATACACTCCGGCCTTTTTTTCTTTTGGATAAAACAGATAATGAAATCAGGTGAAGATCAGACGGCACCGTATATACCAGGAAGTAACTTCACTCATCCTTTCTTCCAAAATATTGTCCTCAAGAAACTACACAGTAATATACGTTTTAGGAATCACAAATATCTCATTGCAAAAGGAATGTGACCGAGTTGAGTCAAGCACCTCGACGCAAATTAAAAACTCAGACTCGATCTTTTACTCATCGAGCCCTATGGAGGTCAACTCGAGCTCAATCAAGATTAATCGAACTTAGGAAATATAAATTTATATATATATGTAATTTTAAACAAGGAACAAAACAAACATTTTATTCTAATAAATAAAAAATTAAAAAACATGTATATGTAAAGTACGATGAGTTTTTGAGTTTCACATATTAAGTTTGAACTTGACTCATCAAATAGTTCAAGCGACTTAAATTTAAGTTTGACCACGGTCAATGCAAGTTCAAATTCAAGTTTTGACTAAGCAAACTCGCGAACTCCTCAATTAAGTTCAACTCGTTCGCATCCTTAGCACAAGTTATTCGACTGGGAACTTAATTAAAATAGACATTTTAATAAAAGCATTAGACAAATATGCCACAAATGGCAATGTACAAGTCAAGATACAACAGAAGCAATCCATAGTCATCCTTTTACAGAGAGCGTCGGAGTAGCAGATATCAATAAAAGTAAAGATCTGTAATTCACATACATATTTGAATCCCATTTTTCACTTTACTCTTGCTGGTCAATGTTGGTAAAAAAAAAATTTGGTATAGAATTTAATCTATCTTTCACTCTTTACGCATAACTATATAATATATACAAGCATTTTGAGTTGCACATATACAACCAGGTAAACAGGGCATTCCCTTTAAACTAGATCTATACTAGTTTTGCAAACAATCTATTGATCACACGTTAATTGAATACTCAACTCACAAATCCAAATCGTATCATTACGTTTCTCCATCTGAAAAGGAATCATCTAAGACACCTTTCACCAATTTCTCAGAGTTATTGCTTGATGGTTACACAGAAGTGACAGTTTCCTGACCAAATCCCCAACTGTAGGGTGCTGAAGCTGCCATGACAGCTTCAATTGACTTGTCAACAGGCACGGATTTAAGGGGGGGCTGGTGGGGGCTTAAGCCCCCCCCAAGCCTCCGGAAAACCCCCTATATATAGGGGATTCCAAATGTTTGCTTCTAAAATGCAGTAGGTAACTAGGTAGGTAGGTAGGTACTACCTTTCTCTTCCTATGTGTCTCTTAGGATACTGGTATTATTGTCTGAAATTTTCAATAGTTATTTATGTTTTCACCTGCTGGTGATGTAATAACTTGGATTTTCCTAAAATGTTTTGAGCAGGTCTGAACTCTGTAGTTATTCATCATATATTCTGGACTTTGTTAGAGCCTGTGAGACTCGGAAACATAGAGCCTGGGAAACATAGCCTTTTTTTTTATTTCAGATGTTTGGTTGTTGGCAAAGTATTTTTTGTGCATCGCTGTCATGAACTATATGGTGGAGTGGGCTTTCTTTTGTTGATCAAGAAGCTTGCCAACAATAGTTGTTGGTGCTGTTATAAATGTATGTTCTGGAACAAAGAATGCTGTAAATGTATTTCCTGGAATTTAGAAAAGTTCTTGATTTAACGCTTATGACATCCCTTGCACTTCAAGAAGAATTAAATTTGCAATTACTATCAAAGTTTTCCTGCTATTTCGCTTTTTGACCGCCTTAGTTTTTTATTTTATTTCGAATTCTGATCATGAAATCAATAAGCAGGGTGAGTGATAGATTATTGATAGTTTAGAGTATTTTTTTGGAGCATTTTGAGATTTCCAAGAACTTATCAAATTCATATGAAAGGGGCAATTTTTAAACTATTTTAGTATGCGATGGGCAATTCTTAAACTATTTTTTTGAGCGGTTTATGCCTCCGAGTACTATACATATCTTGATAGGCCTTCTGTTTTCGTTGTTTCTTTTGTAGATTTGTAGATTTGGGTAAGTTACATACCCAAAAATTCAGAACAAATTTTTGGGTATGTATAATTATATGTTTTTATTATTTTTATAATTATTGATTCTAAATTTTACTTATTAAATATATTTATTTCGTCAAAAAAAAATTTTTTAATACACTTTAGCCCCCCCAAAAATAAATTTCTGGCTCCGTCCCTGCTTGTCAAAGGATATACACTTCCATGTATCATACAAAGGATTACAATTGTGTTACCATAGATGCCAAGGAAACAACGTCGAAGAAGCAGGGTGGTATTTGATTTTTCTACAAACCAGAACAGACACCATTAATCAGAGCTCCCCTCAAACCAACCCATCCTTAGTAGCCAATTTCATTTACACGCCACCTACAAGATCTTGGAACGTTGTTTAAACCACATTCCCGAGACAATTAAGCCACAGGTTCATGATAACTCTACCTAAGCAGAACCAATTGCAAAGACATCAAACTTGTGCATATTCCACCACATCTAATCATTATGAGAAAAGTTACATTACACTGCTTTAGAACACTGCTACAAGCAGGGCGATACATATGGTACATCCAACTGGCAGAAGCCAGTAATCTATGTAACTAGTGCCCATCAATAGGCAGAACAACAATCATATAAGAATCGATAAAATAAATGCCACAAAAAAAAAAACAGTTCAATCAACTATGGCATCCAGTACAATTTAAGCTACTTCCTTGGCAAAGAATAAGCTAAACTAAACTTTTGTCTTTCGCTTCTTTGTACTCCTCAAGCTCTTTCAACCACAGGTCTCCAAACTCACAATCCTTCCATGCCTCAAACCATGGTCCTCCTGATGTATAGTGTATTGCCCTAGGGAATGTGCTCGGATCACCCTCAACAACCCTGTTATGGCCCACTAGAAAATTCCACACAAAGGGAATCTCCCCAATGTCATCATCCTCCAACCACTGAAACCTATGCAGAAACGCCCCTGACTCAGAATTCACAACCTCAGGAGTCAAGACCTTGTTTTTAGGATGCCCACAATTGTACAAAACCATGGAAGACCAATTCTTCCTCGGATAAACCGTCTGCACAGAACCATCCATTTTTATTGTTTCTTTAGGGGTGTAATCATGTTGCACACACATTATTGCATACTTATCATCAACCAAATCAGTTAACTCCTTTATATCACCAAGATACAGAAAATCGCAATCAACAAACATGGCCCAACCTTCATAATTAGCCAAAAGAGGAGTCAAAAAACGCGAAAATGAAAATTCAGTGCTCTCTAATTTTCCTCGTTCACGCCAATAAAGACCCTTTTCCCTTATTTCAGATTGCTTAATTGGGGTGATCTCAATAGGAATTGAAGATCTCTTCAGCAATGAGTACTTACAAACTTCATAAGCAATATCCTCACGGGGATCATACCCGATGAAGATCCTGAATGGCTTTGATTGCAGACTATTCTGGGAGCTATCAAGATTGCCATTGCTCAAGTTCTTGGAAACCATATCAGATTCTACTTTAGAGTCCAAAGGTTTCTTTACCTCTTCACCACCTAAGTTAAAATTTGCCACCAGTGTTGACATTTTTTTCCTCCAAGAATTCAACCCTGCAAAACCCACAAAAGCCCAAAAAAAAAAAAAATTCAAATCTTTAGCAAAACCCAGAAATTAAATTCCATAAATTATGCACAGAAAATATAGCATTAAACAAATGGGATACCTTTCTTGGAGGAGTTGGGAATTTTTTGTAGATCTGGGGTGGACTTGAAAAGGGAAAAAGGAGGGAAAAGGGTTGTTGGATTTGTTGTGAGAAAGGGTCTTTAGGAAGTCCAAGAGGAAGGACTAAAATTCAGGGTGAAATTCATATTTTGGATCGATTGTACATTTGTCTGTGATGGAACTAACGGAAGGGGAGAGGGTATTTGTAGCTGTGAAATAGGTGTCGGCAGGGGGGATTTAGTTTGGCGCCAATTTTAACTGCTAATTTGTTAGTTGATTCTATGTGGACAGAGAAGATTGGACATAATTTAGAAAGCTAAATTCATAAGTAAATTCGTGTGGTCCGCCATCACATTTTCTACCTCATAATTCACTCAACATTAATGCCATTACACGAATCACCAAATTCTGTTCAGTTATTAAATACATCATATCATGTACGATAGAAATTATAAATCTAACGTTGTCATCAATCGACTGCAAAGTCAATTTCATCCCTATTTTTCAAGGAGAAATGAAAGCTCCATTTTTTTTTCCTCGAGTTAAAGGGTCCAATATTGAATTAATAGGCATATATTCTAATACATGGGGATATGGGGCACAAACGGACATCAGAAGAACAGTTTAGGAGCAGTCCTCTCACATTACGAAACAAGAGGTCCAGCAATAGCCACGTCGCCAAGGAATAAGCAAAGCCACAACGACCTCGTTTCAGTTAGTTAGGCCGATAAAAAAAAATAAAATGGATTGCTTACCCTAACAGACTCCGTTAGAGCCAAATGGGCTTTTCAAAATTTCAAAATTTGAAATGAATTTGTGATTTGGTTAGTGACTTTGAAATGAAATCCGGGAAAAATCACCTACCACAATATTGAACAAAACACCATTCTCTGTCTAGCTAGGAAAAGAAAAAATCACTAGAGAGATAAACTTGCATACATTAAGTTTGGGAAGGAGAGCAGAATCTATTGGAAGGAGATGTGTGGGGTAATTTGAACTGAAGAAAGAAGGTGCACTTTGTCTTTCTTATGTTAGTGGTGGATTTCAGCTATAGAATCATCGAGAAGAAAGCTAGAGTAACTTTGTACTACACAATATTCCGACCACCAAGCATAATGAGGGTGATATGAAATAAGGAAGAGACCAAATACAGCTATATCCGGCAAATTCGGTAAAGTGCACAGCGATTTGAAGCAAACGATATATAACATGGTGGTTAGGCCTGTCAATCGGACCTAATGAGTCGGGCTTTTATAAGTTCAAGCTCAACTCATTTAATTTGGAATATTTTCGGGTTTCGGGTTATGAGTTTCGGATTCATAAATGTGAAGCTCATACTCAACTCACATAATATTCAGGTTGTGAGCCTTAATCGGGTTTAGCCCAACCTCACTTATTACTCCTTAATTTTTTAAATATAATTATTATAACTATTAAGTTGTAAAACTAATTTAACATTTACAAGACTATAATATTAAAACTAAACATGAACAAATAATAGTTCTTAAAAAGTATATAAACCAAAAAATTTTCAACAATATTTATATTTAATTCGTTCAATATACATGAAAAATAGTAATAAAACACACGATCATAAGCCAATACATCTTTAAAAGTTGAAACTTTTTTTTTATAATCTTGTGATTTGAATCCAAACATGCTTGATGATTTGTGTTTGTAGATCAAAAAGAAATCAATCAATATTATGCCAATACAAAAATTTACTCAACTACTAAGAAAAGTTAGAGATTCAATTATGCATTACTAATATTGGCTTCAAGAAAGCTCATGGAAATAGTGAGGGATGGAAATATTCATTTTTTGAAATGTGAGGGATGGAGAAATTCATTTTGTGAAGTGTGAGGGATGAAAAAATCATTTTATAAAATGTGAGGGATGAAAAAATTTGTTTTATAAAATATGGAGGACTATAGATTAGATTATGTAAAATATAATTTGACAAATTTACCCTTTCAAAAATGATCACGTGCCTTGCACGTGATGGATTCCGGCCAAAAAATGATCGGAAACCAAGTTAGGGACTAAATTTGACCGATGTGAATATGTAAGGGACATAAAATTACACTTTTAAAAGTGAGGGACGAAAAAAGTCATTTTACAAAATGTGAGGGACGTTTTGGACGATTTTCCCTAAATTTTACAACAAATATAGTTTTGTCAAGGGTACTATATAGCATTCTTTGCATTCTTCAAGGTACTTGTTATAGCTGATAAGTTGTTGTAAATGAACCATTTTCACTCACAATATTTTTGTTGCATTTTGTGAAAAGCTTTGACCTCTTTGACAATTTCACCAAACTTACACAAAAAAGCAAGCTATGCAATCCTATTATTAGTCTAGGTAACCTATAATTGTATTTGTTGAAGAAGATTTGAGTACCATTGTTGTGCTTGTACAACCCTCTTCCTTTGGCATGTTTAATTGACAGTGATCCGTTTAATGTGTAGGCTGGTTTATTACTGTCACCACAGCCAGGAGACATGGAAATCGCATCTAGCCAACAATAAGAACAATGTTAACATCGTAACATCGACCAATAAATTTTTATGTATCTTTGTTTGTGGCACCGACAAATCAATTGTGTAAATTTTAGAGTTTAAAGTAAATTACAAAACATGAAATTATTTATATTCATATTAATCAGATTTGCAAATTGTTTGCAGAGGGCGAAGAATGGATGTAATGTTCTTGAAATGGCTTGTAAAATAGTTTCCACTATTTGTATAACTTCATAATAGAAACGCAATTATTATGATTAGAGCCTACCTGAACAGCTGCTAAATTTATCACACTTGTATTTTGAGGTTGTACAAGCAATTATTAAGGAGGTAAAACTTGTGTAAACAGTGTTATATTGATCAAGAACAAATTATTTCATGCTACATTAAGAATCCTAAATTGCTAGAACTTAGGTCGTCCTAAATTTATCACACTTATGTTGTGAGATTGCACAAGCAATTAATAAGGAGTTACAATTTTTGCAGAAGATGTTACACCAATTAGAAACGGTTTATTTTCATGTTATGTTACGAATCCTAAATTGCTAGAACTCCGGCATCCTAAACTTTAAACCTATGATACACTACAGAGATCTGAAACCTAAGCTCTGATACCAACTGTGACAGCCCCACCTCCCCCTAAGGCGAACCAAAGGGTTCGACGGACCGCCTGCCCAACTCTCGCCGGGACTCACTCACTCACTACAGCTCTCAAATAAATTACAATATAAATTCCAAATGTACATCAATTATTCCACAAATTTAATTGCACTATAAACTAAAACCTCAAGAAATACATGCCATACTAATTTCCCGAATAAGACAAAGGTCCTCAGTTCTCACATAAGTACAAGTACAAGTACCATCTCAAATATTACGCAAATTAAAACTAGAGCTCCAACGGTACAGTAGATCCTCCAACTATTCATACGGAGAACTTTAATACAAATGCTTCCTTCACCTCGAGCCCTGTGGAGGGGAATAAAATAGTTTTGGGGTGAGCTAGAAGCTCAGCGAGTAACCAGTAAAATCAGTAATCAAATCAGTTTCTCAATAGTTCATTTCAATAATGTCATGATTCAGTAATCAAATATACTTTTATTGCTCTTGTGAGCCAGGGAGATCATGGTACTCAGACGTCCAACACTCAAATAGATCCAGTAACAGTGAAACAGTAATAGGGAGCCCTTTGGTGCTCCAGATGAGCAGTAAACCGTGGTGGAGACGTTGGTTCTAAGCCCAAGACTTCTCAAGAACTCATTTAAGCCAAATCATGTCATGAACTCACATGCAAACACACATGATATGCAATCGAGTAAGTAATGCAAGAAACAGTTCATAAGTAGCTTTGGAAACAGTTTGGGGTCACTCACCAACCACGGCTCAGGAACCATCCATCATATGTCGTTGCCTTACTCAAGTCCAAGCCCTTCAACTCAAACTCAAAGCAATCAAATGCTTTCAAAGATCGGACAGCATATCCCCTTAATTTCCTTACTTTTCCATCCTACAAGCAACACCAATTCATCTCAAATCAACCACATACACATCATAGACTATCAAATACACCTTTCGGCACAATATCCATAACTGAAGTTACACTTATCGGATTGAAATGAATCTTATGGAATTTCGAAGCCAAGACATAACCCTACATTTCTTATGAAGACCTCCAAAGCCAAATCATGCATTTTCAGAGTCAAAAATGGAAAACTCCACGAAAACAGAAATCTGGGCGCGAAACAGGGCTCATGGGCAGTCAAGGGTATTTCGGTCATTTCACATGATACAGTGCTTCGATTGAGCTGAAATTTTACAGGTAGGTAGCTAACTCAATTACCAAAAACTTTCATGCTTTGGGAAAAGTCTGATTCGGCCTCAATCATGGCCTAACAGGTTCGGACAGAACAGGGTAGGATGAAACCCTAAACTGGAAATTCCGCATAAACTCTGAAATTTTTCGCAACCAATCATATCCAACATATACCAATCTCCATTTTACACTATAACAGGCCATCAATCCATGACTAAACAATAATTACGATATAAAAACAGAAAAATCACTAATAAATCAAAACTCCACTTTCAACCATAAAACCTACCACAAATCAACATATTTAGCCACTAAAGCCACTAATTTGACATTAGCAGGAACAAAGAGAAAGTTTGTAAGCAAAGTACCTTAACACCTCAAGAAAGATGATAACTTAGGGTTTTCCTTTCACAAATCCCTCCACTAGAAGATTTAATCCTCCTTAATAAATAACTTTGATAGAGTAATTTGATAATTCAACGGTTGAAACTCAAGATTTGAGCAAGAATTGAAGTTGAAGTTGAAGAAACTCTCTCTTGTTCTTTCCTCTCCATAAATTTCGGCCAAGACAATGAAAATGGAAAGAAATTGGGTCAAAATTTTGTTTAGTAAAGGTTAAGACAAGTCCAAGTCAAAGTCAAGATCCAATGTTTCAAGGACAAATGGCATCCAAGGGTTAATCATCATCTTGTTGTCTTCCAATGGTTAATCCCTCTAGGTAACCTCTAATTATTTCCTAGCACCTTGTAAAATAATATTTCTTGATACAAAACTTCAATTAATCGGCAAAAATTTATCGCACTTAACGCACTAGCGGGGCCTACATCCATAATACGCTTCAAAATGACCCGAACTAACTTATACTAGAAAAATGGTTGGAAAACTATATTCATTTATAAAATCTCTGGAAAATTTTGATAATAAAATAAAGTAAGAGAAATGCACGCGGAAAATAAAATAAATAAGGAAAATTTCCCTTTTCTTCCTTCGGGCGTCACAGATAATAACTCTAATAATTGCCACAAAGAGGTTCACAACTATAACACTATCCATTTTCATTGGATTCACAAATTTACAAAAAATACTATTATTTTTCTAATATGGATGAACTTTTTCCATCTATTGACCTTAGCAAAAACAAAAAACTATTTGAATATAGTCATTTGTTTATTAACTTGCAAGTGGTCATTTCAGTGTACATCCGACTTCAAGCATTGGTAAGAGTTAGCCTCGTTCTATTTGGAATCTGCAAGGTCATTATGATTTCCTTGAAGTTAGCATTGTGCTCTGAAGTACATAGCTAAGCTGTGTATAGCAACCAATACTCGGTATCGTTTTCCTACAAATTTTTTTAAGTCTAGTCATTCATTTTTCCACATAAGGTATTCAATATATAAACAACTAGCTTTGCAGGTTATGGGATATGAGCAATTTCAATAAATCTAAATGATGCGCAGCCAACCTTTTGCTCCAGTGATCTTGGTACTTCATCATGAATATTAAAGTCACCAAAAAATTACACGTTATCGGGTGATAGGTGAGAAATATTGACAACATTGAAGGTGAAACTACTAAAGTCAATTTCCCTTCGAAACTTTGTCGCCATTACCAACCCAAGTGCAGAGTTCTATTTATCATATTGGTAAGTAAAACAGACAAAATATTGAATTGTTTAGGAGATGACAGCCAAACCATAGCAGTAAATGCCAGTACTTAATCTAGTGAGCGATAGTTTAAGCCAGATTGATTACAAATGGAAAACAGAAAGTAATTGCAATTAATTATCACATAGAATATTTAAATTCCCAACTTACACTAACCTTTCCTTTTTATGCTTCCCAAAGCCAACCGTGCTAGTGTTTGTGTCATCTGACCACTATAAGCATGACTACCAGAATGTAAGGCTAGTTATAATGGTAGTCGGATCTCTGAAATGCTTTTTGGAGCCTTTAATTCAGCTACAAAAATATCTATCACATTGCTATCAATAGTAATTACTTGATCAGAGTAGATTGCTAAGGTTAATTGTGAATCAAAATCACCTATGGTGGACTTTGTTAGGGGTGCTTCACCAGCCACATCTCCCTCAGTTGCTATGGGATGCTGCTGCTTATGTTGATATAGTCAAATACATTCTAAATGCACTACTAAGTATGATATAGCATATTCAGCCCACTCAACATCAAGAATATTCAGTCTAATACACATACATACTATAACCCACACTCATACCAATCAAATTTAACTTCATGAAATTCAAATACTGGGTTGCTACTATACAAATAGGTATCAAGTGACAAATATTAAGTAACAACTATTAATGATTCATAGTGTTGCACTTCCCTTCCCTCTCCTTGCTTTTATTTATTCTCTTCTATTGCCAATCTCCTTCATTTTGTTTAAATATAATTATGCTAATGGATTACTAATTTACAATTGTATGAGAGTATTGCTACATTGTCACTCTTTGTTCATATAAAACAACAGGTATTCAACATGATATAAAGGCACGCTACTAAAATATATTGTAACCATTCTTTTTCACTATGTCAGGTATACTGAACAATATGTATATTTAGACTAATACACATAACCTAGAATCTACACTCATTGCAATCAATTTTGAAGCAATCCATTTCAACTAGATTGCTACTATACGAATAGGTACCGACTCATGAACATGAGGTAACAATAGTTAATGCTAGTATATTGTGTGCACTTTCCTATCTCCTTCCCCCTTTCTTTTTAAATTTTCCTCTTGTTGTCAATCTTCCATACCTTGTTTTAATATTGTTATGTTAATGGATTATTGATTTTCAATTGCATCAAAGTATTGCTCCAACGACACTAATTAGTCACATGACGTAATACGTAACCGACAAAATGCATAGGCACGCGTAATAACCTTGTAACCAATTTTTAACAGTAGGTGAGGCACATTGAACACTGTGTAAATTTAGCATAACACATACAAATCCCAATCAACAGTAATGCTAATCAATTGTAAAGCAATTAGTTCTAATTATTGATTTACATTGCATCCCGCTATTTCTCCACCATCATTAGTTCATCTAAAAAAATATTTGCTATTCAACATGATATTAGGACCTATTCATCTAAACATCTTCGCGTATATATATCTACTTTTGACGAGCCATTTTGCTTACCTTTTCTCTTCCTATGTGTCTCAGTTTATCTCAAAGTGATCACCCATAAACACCTAGTAATAGTATATACACCATAAGGTTTGCTTGCTTACCTAAAAAAATACAACCTTTTAAATTTTCCTATTCTTTTACTTGCCCAAAACCTCCTCACTTATTGTGGAAAGTTTCTCATATAGTTCGTATTATGAATACACCATTCTTATTATTGTGGAAACTCATGACTCCTGTTTATCCTCTACTAGAAATTCCTACCAATAATTGGTTGGACAGTTGTCCTTTACTTTTTCACAAACACGTGTTGTGCAAAATTTTCTTCCACTTTCCTCCTTCATATGGTCCATCAACATATTTAACTCCTAGTATTCATATAGTTTTCCCGAACAAACTTTCTATTTTATTTTTTTTTATAGTGTTTCAATGAAGTTGTGTGCTTAAAACAAATACAAGTCAAATTGTTCCACACCATTGTCAAAATATACAAATTATGTGATAAGCTTGCAGTATTATTACCTAGGTATGTCTCTGCTTAGTTTTTGCCCCAAATCCCCCATCTCCCACTTTACAATTCGGGTTCATCTTTCCTTAGCTTTTTTAGATTTCACACTTCCAAGACTATCTCTCTTTGCCATTATTTCTTCCTTCTCCTCATTGTAATTTCTGTTAGGTGACAATGCATTTCCACCATTTTTCTTTTTTGCCCTTGGTCTGCCACTTTCCTATTCTGCAATGTTATTTTGCCATATGTTGTCTTGCCCTATTTTCTAGAGTTGTGGATGAATGAATATTGGCAATTATTTTGGAGGGAATGCAAGGGACTTTTTTGTTTCAATGATTGCTTCCTGTTCATTTGGGCGGGATTCTATGGAACAGAGTTCTGACGCTTTGTGTCGGAATCTGTTGAAGTAAGACATCTTTTTTTTTTTTAGCCTTACTAATTTAAACAAGATCGTTTTGTCTCCTACTTATTCCCTTGCGACATGGCTTTTGCTAAGCCTCTTATTGGAGCATGTGAGAGGACCGCTCCTAAAGGAGCATGTGAGAGGACTTGCTAAGCCTCTTATTGGAGCATGTGAGAGGACCGCTCCTAAACAGTCCATATGATGACCATTTGTACCCCATATCCAATACATGGAGATATTAATGATAGCTGAATTCAGTTATCCGATACTCGGATCAGCATCAGTTCATATAACATTTTGTTTCATAAACCAGTCAAGGGTAGCATGATTAACTTTAACATTGACCATTCATTAACTTTCACGCAAACTTGACCTTGTTTGGAGTCTGTAAAATTTTTTTATGTTTTTTGTAAACACATTTTTTCAATCATTTGTTTTATCTCATATACATCAAATCACTGCAATTTATTTTCCTCCAGAAAATAGCAGTCCAAAAACATCAATCTCTCAGACATTGATTTCAGCGGCAAATCAGAAAACAAAAACTGTAGCTCAACTCCCGGTGTCCTCTTCACTGTCTTTGCTGCACTGTTTTCTTTTTCTTTTCAAACACCCAGTACTTACGAAGATATCCATATGTGCAAGCAAGTCAACAGAACATTAATATCCGTGATAATTTTAGGTGCAACCAATTCATCAACCCAGAAGCACCTCTAGTTCTTCCAAACCATAATTTAACGTGGCAAATTGATTGGTAGAAAATGTCATCTAATATAAAAGTAATTTCAAATCTAAATTATAGGCATAACAGAACATCCATGGACTTGAACACTACCACAAATCTGGTAATGCAAACCTGCATTCGAGCAAGGTGCAAATGAGCTGTTGGGAGATCACTTGACAACACAAGTATTTGCCTCCAAAAAGGACCTAATGCATCCAGCTACAGATAGCATCAGAACCTCAGTAGCGTAGTCAGTTACAATTCAAGTAAAATTACACCCAGTCGGTGGTCAAGTAATTGACTAGGTGAAAGAAGACTCCTGGCAGATCTGAATCAGTACCGTGGGTACAACTTCATGACTTACCTTCCAGTACCAACTAATACCCAACATCCACAGCACCTGCCAATACCCCAGCATCTCCAGGACCTGCTTCGAAAGGATAAGCACCTTCAATGCTGAACACCAATAAATGAATCCAGATAAGTTCCAGCTGCAAGCAAGCTAAGCACTTCAGATACAAAGCACATGCACCGGCAAAAGAAAAGAGCAGATAGCATATTTTAATCCAATATATGTGTGATTTAACCCCTATATTTACGCGTCTGTATGTGTATTCAAAAGCAGTCTGCAAATGTAGTGCTCCATTTAAGCTTACCATTACACATTAAGCTCAAAGGTTTCTTCGACTTAACTGCAATGCAAACTGATCAACAGCCACCATAGCCCGAGATGCTGAGCCAATGGAACCGTCGTATCTATGGAAACTCCCAAGAAATGATATCAAGTCAATTGGTGAAACAGATAATAAGACTATTCAGAACCAGCAAAAGAATGCCCAGAAAGCAAGATGAGCATGTGCACAGAATGATCCAATATGCTTACAGTCCAACCAAGAGAAATGCCGCAGTCTGCATCACAATAGCACCTTCCCCAGCAGCTTTCGAGGTGTTCATGCATCTTGCACTGAACCAGCTCTCATGAATGGATGTGACAAGATCTATCACCAAAAACTTCATCAACTATATTTCAAAAACTTATCTAGAAACAACTAAATAAAGACCCCGTAACTTATTCTTGTTATGTAATAATTCCTCAAAGGGTTACCACGTTCAAATGAATCCCCCAAGTTACCAATTTTAACGATAAGTTCCTCGAAGATAATTTTGGAAGCAGTAGATAATACAGCTCTAGGAACAAGAACAGTTTCTCATATGTTCCAAATAGTACTTTCTTCCATAAAAGGTAATATTTTACAAATAGTTCACAGTCAAAACAAATATGGCTTTACCCAGTTCTCAGTGGTGGAATCATATCTTTCAGTTTTTCCCTTTTAAGTGGACACACTTTAGAAGAATTTCATGCATTCAGGAATTGCACCTTTAAAGCAAACCATACATATGCAACTTCAATATTTAGATAAACGTGGGAATGAACTATAAAGTGCACTCTGATAGAAGAGCAGAAAATAACAACAAAGTAGGAAGAAACTTGGCCAATCTAGAGAAGGAATGCAATAAACCACATATGCTGATATGAGGAGTAAAACATCAATACAGTTCAAGTTAACAGAGGATCCAAGAGACCAAACTAAAACCAGCAGACAAGAAATATAATAGATAATGGTTATACTTGGAATAAATTTGTAAAAGCAGAATACTCACATTGATTCTGTCCGATAAAGAAGCTCTCAGCCTGAAGTTTGTTTCTTTTGACGAAACTAACAAATTGACTCAATTCCATTGGATCTGCTTTTACAGCTTCTTGCTCTACACTGTAAATAATGCAACCAAGCTTGAATCCTATCCTTAGTATAATCCACTAATAATGCACAAGCATAGAGTCAAGACATGATAGAAACCATAACGTTTTGCCCTCAACAGAGACAAATACCAGCATTTGATTGTTTTCTTACTCAGATTAAACAAAAAGAAAAAACAATGTATATGCAGAATACCAAGGAGCTGCATACAAAGTAAACCAAGCAAACAAGCCCCAAGAATTTGTGAGAACAACCGCAAGCACTAAGACTCCAATATTCCTGACCAGGATGTTACATTTTCTTGATCAGAAAGTCTTAAGAAAACCTTAACTCAATCAATATCTCTCCTCCTAGAAACTATTGTGCTTCCAACTAGGAATTTAAATCAACAACAGTCCAAGTGCTGAAAAAAGCAATCAAATTCTGACTCTGACACTGAAATTTTGTGGAGAAATGTTTGTATTTCCTAATTGTGTAGAAGCAAATCATCAGTCAACAGCAACCAAGAGTTCATGTCACACAAACATTGGCCAACAGTTCTACTTCACATGGGCGTATAGGAATGCATTGTTAATCTCCTCAGTAGCTTTTGTCTGATAGGAAAAATAAGGACTCGCAAATCACCAGCTGAGAAATACTTGTTGAACTTCAGCTCTGTACATGGATTAACCAAAATTGGACACTTAAAGCAGAAATCAGTGTTTGTCATCAATTAGTCAAAGTTAATAGCTTAGGATAGTGTTATCAACTTGAATATTTTCAATAGCAGGAAAAAAGTCTGTCAAAAGATGGGACTTATATCAATAAGAGTAAATATGTTGTAAAACTCAATCACAATAATCGAGATCAATATAGAAAAACTTTAAATGCCCATCTTTTTTGATGTATGAGTAATTAAGTCATACATATTCAATAGAAGCATAACATATTTGCCAAAATGCATTAACTAATAAAAAGTTAAGACATTCCAAATATGTAACTATTTTTCTTCAAATACATTTCTCTCCATGATACACAGTAGATAATTTACAAAAAGATGCATGCATACACATGTTCAGTAAAATGTTGTTGCAAATATCACGGGGATGCTGTCAGGAGAAAATATCAGACATCTTATGCAAACCAAATATATAGATTGAAACCCAAAAGATCAAAATCCACCATAAACAGCTTATTCACAATTTATCTTAAATTCAAACTATATTAAAACTTGCAGAAACAGCCATCTTTTTCTTATAGAAATCCTGTACAGAGCCTTTTTCATTAGGCCTTTTCTATGCCGAAAAAAGAACATAACAGAACTCAAGTCATACCAAAATTTGACGTGCCAAACAGTTACTTAGTTTTGCTTACATTGTAGATAGGAGGCGAGAAGGTCCAGTTGGGTCATAATTAATCAACAGAGCAGCCTTTAGAGGAAGCCCTAATAATTGAATCAGTAAAACCTCAATCAATATGCATATATGCTTAAAGAATATTAAATAGACATAGAATGGTAGGTAGAGAGATGGAGAGTGCAAAGAAACACGATCGTCAGTTTTCTTGCCTGGAGAACCAACACTGTTGGATGCCCATTTTTCCCAGATTCTGTGCACGAAAGCCCAGTCCATATATTGTTGGCTGGAAGCTGCAATGGTGGGAGATTGGATTAACATCCAGTATTCACCAATGACTAGTAAGAAAGTTCTCAACTACTTTCAAATCCAAAGACTAAGATCACCTCGCTTAAAAGGCCTTTTGGTCCACAAGAATGTGAATGTTGGTGTCTTTCATGTTATTGTTTTTATACAATTAGCAAGGAGATTAAATCTGAAATCCCTTTGGCGTGCTAGGGCTCAAATCTAATACATGTCATCCCCAGGTATTGTTTGCTTAGTGTTTTGGGTTTAGGTCTATGTTATATAGAGTCTTAACATAACCTAAGTTCCCTTCGAAATAATTGATATAAAAAAATGGCAATGTTGATCAGGTATATAAACTGCTTAATATAATCCAATATTGTTTCCTTTCATGTATTGATTAGAATCATAAAGAAAGTAACTATGTAAATTACCAAATTGTCTACTTGGGAGATTTTGGATCTTCCAGGATTTACTAGCCAAAAAGTATATAGTTTAGCTCCCTAATTGCCAAACTTCTGCCATCCTTTCCTTTTTTCTGCAGTAAAGAATGATTACCAGCTACAACACACTCTACTTCTTCACTAGCATCTATCATCTTGCCTCTGGGTATACAACCTTATGCCCTAGACATTGCTACATAACAGGGGCATTCAACCAACGCCAGAAAGGCAATTTTGCTCCACCTCACACCTAGCATGTCATTACTTCGCCTTTGCAAAAATGTTATAAAAATCATCCACATTCAACCCTCCATCAAAATGAAATTTTCCTAATTTCCTCCCACCAACCTATTTGATAATCACTAATAAGAACAGCTGTCCTAATCTCCTCCAACCAACCTATTTTGCTAATCACTCACAAGAACTCTCACTAAATGCAATGTTGATCATAATGGTAACTAAACTGACATCGAACTAAAGCAAAACTCTTCCAGGGAAAAAAAAAATCGGTGGGTCATTTTATCGAACGGTTAAATGGCAAAAGCCAAAACATGCTCTTTTATCCAAATTTGACTACGAGTGGTCCAAGATTTTCCAGCAACGATAGATATCAGCCAATTCCATTCATTCTACTTTCATCCTACCACATAAGAACACTCATAGAGAAATCCGTCAAGAATTCAAAATAGGTGGCCATGAGTAAACAAAAGGAAACAAAAAATCCAAGCGAACAACTAATTCCCACATTTTCGGATATAATCAAAATGAAACTAACCCAGAGAAAGAAGAGAACTGTTACAATGCTTTGTCGGTTATGATTTTGGTGCAAGGTAGTTCTGGCGTAATGGCAACAGTGAACTCTTCTTCTCCTTCGAAATCTGCTCAAAATTCAAGAGGGTTTAAGGGCTCGTTTTTGTCGAAGTTGTGATAAATGATGGGTTTCGATTACGAAAAAATTGAGTCGAGTTTTAAATTATAGGCTTAGGTTCCGTTTGATAAAACTGAATATGAATTCTGAAGTCTGAATTCTGAAATCTGAAATTTGAATACTGAAATCATTAATTTGCTGAATTTTAAGTACCGAAAAAAATATATGAATGTCTGAATTTTAATGCTAAACCTATTTATACTGTTTGATAAATATTTATAACTGAATGTTTAATAAGTTTAATTTGACAATTTTGCCCTTATATCCTTTCATTCAAAAAAGAAATAGAATCTATGATTTAATTAGTTTAAAATTGTTATGTATGAAAATGACAATATTTATTTTTAAATCAAATTAATATAAAAGATGAAATATATTATATGAGAAGTATGGAGAAGATGTGAAAGTCATTAAAAAAGGAGAAAAGAGAAACTAAAATTCGTTAGATAGAGAATATTAAGTTGTTTAATTAGATAAGAATTTTGAACATAATTAACAAACAATGGTAGATTTGGTAGATAGGATAAGGTAGTTGAAATAATTCTATTGATTCTTATCAGAATAGGATTCTTGTGCTGAAAAAAATACACATAGGTTCAGCACTGCTTAACAAGTTCAGCAAATAGATTTTCATTTATCAAACACTCAAAACATCTGAATATCTGAACAAATTCAGATTCAGCACTTTTTATATTATCAAACAGACCCTTAGGCTAACTGTAGTGGTAGCGAGCTTTTTTATATAAAGGCATATATCAAAATTTTTTAGAAGACCTTGGTGTTAATTTCATTAATCCATTTTACTACCATCGATGGGTATTATAGATTTTCTTAATCAATATTTCTATTTTCAAAAATTTTATGAGGATAAAGTTTTTGAGTTTCCAAAGTGTCTTCCACTCGTCTAATCATTAGATAATTTGGATCACTTTGGAGCTTTGGCAACTGGTCATGACCTGCCTTGCGGAGAATTTTTCAGGTTTCACCAATTTTAAAGTGTTTAATTTTTCAGATTTTGTTTTGAGATTTGATTCAAATTATGGCATGTTAGCTAATTTTTTTTTTTTTGGTTTCCTAGCTTGCTTTTTTTTTTTGTCTTCGGAATTTATTGCTTTTTGGCTTCGGAGTATTTTTGTTTTTCTAGACTGGGAACAATTTGGATTTGTGACTTACTCAATTTGAATTCCTCGAGTAAGTCCTGAGAAGAGCTCGAGTTATGAAATTTAAAACTAGACGAGCTCAAACTCGGGTTTGAGCATAGCTATTGAAATCAAGCTTGAGCTATAAAATTTAAGATTCAATAAGTTTCAACTCGACTTAGGATAGACTATCATGAACAAAGTTTAAACTCTATTCGACTCTATTACGCCCTTAGTCACAGGTCGTAGCATTGCTAAGATTGTGTTTGGATTGCATTTTCCGTGATTTTTCATGGAAAAATTACTGTAGCGATTTGATGTATGTGAGGAAAAAAGGTAATAGGGAAATGTGATCACGGAAAACGACGTAATTTTTCGATGGAAACCGGCAATCCAAACAAAGCATCTAGAGTATTTCCGTGTGCTAGTTGGAAGAGGGGTAAGGAGTGAATTGTAAAAATTTCTGATAAAGTTATACATCCAAAAGGAAAAAGGGGTTAATTGCTCACACTGCACCACCTTGAAACTTAAAAATATAGACTTTGTCCCCAATTAAAAGCCGTTTACATTAGAAATATTAACTCTTTGAAAAAACGTGTGAGTGTAATGATATCATTGTCTTATTAGTGTTGAAATCATCTATAGTTAACTAGTATTGCTTACATACATGCATGTATACGTACGTACACACACACACATATATATATATATATATATATATATATCTTCTCAACACTATGCACTATATGCAAATATTAAATTGATAAAACCAGAAAAGGATGCTTCTAATCTTTTTTTATGAATGTTGAATTAATTTTGTTTTTATTTATATATTTTTTAATTTATTGGACTTTAAATTGGATAAATAGTGATAAATTACACAACAATAACAATAAATTGAGTAAGTAGAATTTTGAAAACATAAAGTAATATTAAGCTTGTTATTTGTTAAATATATTTTTTTTTACTATTTTAGTTCACATAAATTGTTAGAAGAATATCATTATCATTTTTTGTTTATCAAATTAGTCAACTACTAAATTCTTAAATAAAATTGTGAGGAAGTATAAATATGCCTTACTTTTTAACTTAGAATAGACATTAAATCAAACACAATTTTTTTAAGAAATAATAGGGCCATAATAGTAAACTATAGATAATTTCAACAAGACAAGGCTAATAATATCATTAAATTCATTTTTCTTGATCGAAGTTAAGTTTTCTAAAGTGAATTAGTTTTCATGGGGCAAAGTGCATACTTTTAGGATTGAGGGTGGCAAAGTGTAACTATTCCCAAAGCTCATGAAGGCAAACCGTGATTTACCCTAAGAACAACCTAAGGCGTGCGTGATGATACCTACTATGCACATAAATTGATGTATACCTATCATGTAAATCGCTCCTGTAAGCAGCCAAAGATTCATATGCATAACGTCGCTCAACGCCTCATTACTTGTGGATGTAGATGATTTTTCCCTTCTCCTTTGATTCGGTTATTTCATTTCCACCCCTAATTTTGAATCTGTTTGTCTATTGTGTCCCCTAAATTTTTTGCAAATATTGTTACCTACCTTCATACTTTTATATTTAGTCCTTCTAACTTCACTGCCAAAAAAAAAAAAAAACATTTGCTTTACAATATCTATACACCGTTTGTCAGTTTTCCATACCTATCCTTTGACTGTGAAAACATACTTTAGATGGATTTTAAACTGGTGATCAGCTTATGGCTATCAACCGCAAGATGTGGTTGCTTTACGTTTGCTCTTGCAACTGAACAATGCAATTAATAGCTGAAGTCGAACCAAATTATGCCAACTCAATTTGAGTCATTCATTTCAATATGTTCAATCCTAGTCGTTAATTAAATAGTGTGATTATAGCACTACACCCTACTAATTGTGATTGAACTACGACTTTGTGTGTGTGACCATCTACTGTGTCATCTCGTTTGAGTTAACTAGAGTAAAGAGATTGAAAGGTTGGTTGGGGATTTAAATCCTTTTAGGGCAAGTTAAAAAAAAAAAAAAAGGGCTTTGAGCTCTTACTTAATTAGCAAAAACTTGGAAATTAAAACGAAACATAAGTAGGCCAATCGTCTGTTAAGTCCAACAATTAATATAAAAAAAATTAAGAAATGGTGTAGCAGTGCATCTATTATTCATGCTCTTTAGATTTAACAAATTCAACTTGAATTCAGATTTAAACATGTATATAAATTAATGAATAAAGTTCGAACAATATTTTGAGTTTGTTATAGAGATCGAAAAGTTCTGTTACATTCCGTATTAAACATTCTTTTACTTCGTTGTAAAGATTGAAAATGCTTTCTTAGATTCCATATTAAATATTCTCTAATTTTGTTATGGACATTGTTACAAGTTACAAGCTTTCTTACCTCAAACCCCAAAGTCAAACATTTAGATAAGGGTAAATTGTCCATTTGACCCTTGAACTTTTAGTTTAGGTAAAATTAAGTCTCTTGACTATTTTTAGTCAACTTTTAGCCCTCAAACTTGTAAAATTGGGCACTTGTGACCTTTTGGCCAGTTTATCCGGTTTTGCAACCGGAAAACTAAATCACACGAATGGCAGTATGCTTTGTAGAAAGGTATTTTTGTTCGCATTTTCTAAGCAAAAAGGAAACAACTCCTCCTTCTTCCCCCCCTTTTCCTAACCCAACCAAACAAGTCGAATCACACCGCATTTTCCTTACCCCTTTTCATCTTCCCTCGAGGATCTTTGTGGAGGGAGAAGAGCAAGAGAGAATCAGCACTATCGGGTTCAACAATAGTTGGGTATCATCGACATTGAAGCAACAATGGAGTGGCAAATCAGGCCGGAAAATGAATACTTTGATCCGGTCCTCGTTTATGGTATGTAACTTTGTTGGAACCTTTAAATGTGAAATAGCTAGTATATTCAATTGTTGGATGGGCAACAATATTTTGGTGGTGGGGGTTACTGAAAGTGACGTGGTAGTGGTCCTAGAAGTGGGGGTATGGTGGTGGGCACTTAATTTTGTTGTTTAGTTGTTCAAAAAGTGTAGGGGTTTACGAATAATCAGCATTTGATTAAAAGTTCGAATTTTTTTATTGTTTAACTTGGATTTGACCCTTGAACATTAGGGTTACTTTTTGAAAAAGCATATGAAGCAGAATTTGAAGTTTAATTAATTATAGTTGAATTTTAAATAGTATATTTATATGTACTTCTTGTAAGCCCAAACTTGTATTGAAACGAAAAATTCATATTGGTATGCAGCTCCAGAATCTGAAATATTTAGCATAAGGTTACACCACGGGGGAAGAATAAATTGAAAAAATTATGTCAGCTATGAGAATGGAGAAGTGGACTACGTAGATATGTGTGATGATGAACGTATGTCAATCCATGAGTTGAATAAAATGGTTGAAAAAGTTAGTCATCCTAATGCAGCTATTTTGTACTATTACCTTGAACCAATTGCAGACATGGGGACTGGTTTGAGAGAATTGCCCATTGATACTCATGTTAGGACCTAGACTAGCAAACCAATCCAGCCAGGGACTAAAGGATACAGATTCACTCCAACAAGATTACATCCCTGATCACCTAAGTAGTGATAATGGCTCATCAGATGATGAATTCAAAGGGAGATACAAGGACTTTGTCCTAGAGAAATTCCTCAAGGATCCCAAATTCGAGATTGGGATGAAATTTGAATCAAGAGCACAATTAAAACTACCGTGACTGAGTATGGGATTAAGATGGGTAAACCTATTTGGACCTGTAAAAATGAACCCACCAGGGTGAAGGCCAAGTGTAGGGAGCCATGTAAATGGTTTGTATTTGCTTCAATAGAAAAGACTCTTGGTACAAAGGATTTGATAGTAAAGACTATGCATGATGTCCATAAAACATGCAACCATACATGAAAAAATAAGAATATTACTGCC